GGGGAGGTGAATAAATCTTTTGCTTGTTGTTTCCCTAGCATGGTGGGACGCCTGAATACAATAAGAAAATCGTCTCACTCCTCGTTTTTTCGTCCTCAGAGATAGATGGTGTGAATGATTTTTTGATTGGGTCTTGGGGGGGGGGGGGGGTGGGGGGGGGTCCTAGGGTGGTCTTACATGATGAATGGATGAATGCACCTTGAGAACATCTGGGCCAAACTTTGGGAAAACCTGGAACATACATTGTCAAAATCTGGACCAAACTTTGGGAAAACCTGGAACATACATTGTCAAAATCTGGACCAAACTTTGGGAAAACCTGGAACATACATTGTCAAAATCTGGACCAAACTTTGGGAAAACCTGGAACATACATTGTCAAAATCTGAGACCATACTTTGGGAAAACCTGGAACATACATTGTCAAAATCTGGACTCAAACTTTGGGAAAAACCTGGAAGCATACATTGTCAAAATCTGGACCATAACTTTGGGGAAAGAACCCTGGAACATACATTGTCAAAATCTGGACCAAACTTTGGGAAAACCTGGAACATACATTGTCAAAATCTGGACCAAACTTTGGGAAAACCTGGAACATACATTGTCAAAATCTGAGCCATACTTTGGGAAAACCTGGAACATACATTGTCAAAATCTGTGACCGAAATTGGGACAGTGTGGAACATACATTGTCAAAATCTGAGACCAAAATTGGGACAGTGTGGAACATACATTGTCAACATCTGAGACCGAAATTGAGACAGTGTGGAACATACATTGGTAAAATCAAAGACATACAAGTTTTGGAACAAGACTGAAGTCCAGATGTGGACAAACAAACAGAACTTTCCCCCAGATTGTAGCTGGTGAATGCAAAGAAGAAGTAGAAGACTATGCATGTCAAATACATAATTAATTGCGTTGTTGTCATTTAAGCAATAAGTACTTACTGTGCATTGACTTATTCTTCTTCTGCCTTCTATCCCCCGATGGAACAAAGGCCCTCAACCAGTTCATGCCAAGTCACACTATCCTTCGTTGTTGCATGCAGCTCACCCCATGTCCTCCCCATCTCTTTAACCTTTCTCTCTAGCTGCCTTCAGCATGTTGAGTTATGTGGTACATAATTCAGTCTGTCAGCAACAGTTTTTGTGTGCAGGGGCTGGGTCTCACAACAGATGTTTGCTAAGATTGTCACTAGCATTTGTAGAATGGTTCTGTTGGTGCCAACAGGAAGAAAGGGATGAAATCGTTTTGGTGATTGAACTCAGAACTCTTGTCTTCTTATGTGTATGAACTGTTGTGATGAATGAAGCATCTCTTGAAATGTATTACACACAAAATAAATTGTATTTATAATAGCAAAGTGAAATATTCTTCGTAATTGCAAGGGGAATAATTCTTAGTTAAGGCAGAGTGAAACATTCCTGATGATAGCAAAGCGAAGCATTCTTGATAATATCAGGCTAAAATATTCTTGATAATAGCAAGGTGAAGCATTCCCTATAATAGCTAGGTAAAACATTCTTGAAAATAGCAAGGTGAAAAAATTATTGATGATAGCAAAGTGAAGCATTCCTTATAATAGCTAGGTGAAACGTTCTTGAAAATAGCAAGGTGAACAAATTATAGAAAATAAAAAGGTGAGAAAATTATAGAAAATAGCAAGGTGAAAATTTTTTTTGTGATAGCAAAGTGAAACATTCTTGATAATAGCAGATTTCTTAGTATGCCCAGTCACCCTATGAATGAAAGATTCCAAAATTTAGCTTTGGGACGACTAAAGAGAAGTAGTATTATCCACCAGGCCAAACGGCTCGGCAGACAAACCACTGATTTACCTGCAACTGATAGATCCTTAAATGCTGTCCCAGAACGGACCCCCTGGAGAGAGGAGTATAAGTTTCCAATACACATCAAGACTGAAGTGAAAGGGGTATTTGACAAGGAAGAACAAAACAGTGTGCAGCGCAAAAACAGCCACCCTCAGTCTACTTGATGATGAATACCCCGCAGAACCTTTGGGTCCGTGTTTACACAGATGGGTCAGCAGAAAGCGCAGTCAGAAACGGAGGTGCGGGAGTGTACATTGAGTATCCTAATAATACCAGGGATACAGCCAAATTACCAACGGGAAAGCACTGTCACAACTATGATGCAGAAGTTCAAGCCATCAAGATAGCGGTAGAGAAACTACTAAATACAGGGTATTTTTCACAACCAGTGGTATTCCTGACAGATGCAAAAGCAGTACTTCAGTCACTCCAGTCTGGAAAATTACCAAGCATACGGACACTATTATCCGAACTAGGCAACCGCTGTAAATTAGTAATGCAGTGGATACCTTCCCACTGTGGAGTTCCCGGAAAACGAAAAAGCTGATAAACTAGCTAAGGAAGGTGCAACTGAAGAACAACCTGACATACCAGTCTCTTATCAACAGAAGAAGAGAATGATCAAATCAATCAGAATGCCACCGAAACTGGCACAAGATGATTACAATATTATGGACAGACCAGAGCAAGTCATTATCCTTCGCCTTAGAACAGGGCACAATCGACTTCGCTCCCACATGTACAACAAATTTAAGATTGGCCAATCAGCCATGTGTACTTGTGGACTGGCACCTGAAACAACAGATCACATCCTTCAAGACTGTCCCAGATTCAACGCTTTCAGGCAAAACCTTTGGCCAAAAGAGACACTTGTGGAAGTCAAACTTTACGGGCCGCTTAGTGAATTACAAAAGACAGTGAAATTCATACTAGAGACAGCTTTGCAGATATAGACAATTTATTTCATGCGAACGAAAGAAGAAGAAGAAGAAGATAATAGCAGACTGAAATGTTCTTGAAAATGGCAAGGTGAAAAATTCTTGATAATACCAAAGTGAAACATTCTTGATAAAAGCAACGGGACTTCTTAATAACACAAAAATAGTGCATTATTAGGAAGAATAATTTCTGATTGATGTTAATGTTTCTTGATTTCTCTGATGTTGCTGTAGGTTTGGGGCTAGCTATGGTGGCTGTGTCCTGTATGGTGGCCTTCTACTATACTGTTATCATTGGGTGGGCTTTTTTGTATATGTTCAAATCTTTCACAACTGAGCTGCCTTGGGAGAGATGCAACCCGGAGTGGGCCACTGCCAGTAAGTTTTGTATATCTACACTCTATTAACTCTTTCAGGACCACATTTTTTTCTGGGGTTTGGACAGCATTAATTTTGAGCATAATTTTTTTTGTTTACTGCAACATGACAAGCTAAAACCTTCCCGATGAGCAAGTATTGGTTGTGTAGTAAAGTTAAGGACACTTTTCCAGCTCTTTAGGCGTGTTGGGAATATAGGGCTAGACCTATATTTTTATAGACCAATTGGCACTTGCTGGGTGATGTGATCAGCATCATGCCGGCCGCCTTTATTTCCCAGGACTGCACCTGGTACCCACTCAAGGCTGGGTCGACTTCGGAGTCAAGGTCATTTTTGAAAGTCCAGCTCCGCCAGGACGCAAACCCACGACCTTCCGACCCGCAGGCGGGCGTCTAGCCGCCAACGCCACAGCGACTCCCATTGGCTGTATGGGGACATATAATATATAAAATTTAAGAGAAATGAGAGCAGAATAAATCTAACTTATATAAGTGTCAGTATTACAACACCGAACTCACCACTTTACATTGGATTTATAGACTATGAAAAAGCATTTGACAGCATTGATAGAGAATCTCTCTGGAAATTGATGGGGCACTATGGAATCCCACAGAAAATTATCAACTTAGTAAAGGCAACATATAAAGACATGAAATGTTGAGTTCTTCATGAGGGAAAGCTAACAGATGCATTTGAAACAAAAACAGGTGTGCGACAGGGATGCCTTTTGTCACCTCTTTTATTTTTACTGGCTATAGACTGGACTATGAAAACAGTAACTGCTAACACCAAGAATGGATTTCAGTGGACCCCTACAAAACAGCTTGATGATCTGGATTTCGCTGATGATATTGCTCTTCTGTCCCATTCACGGAACCAGATGCAAGATAAATTAAATATACTTGATGTGAGATCACAGCAGCTTGGTCTGAAAATTCATAAAGGAAAGACAAAGAAAATGAGAATCAGGCAAATATTAATGTGGTTTCTCTTAATGGCACCCAACTCCAAGACATGGAGTCGTACACATATTTGGGCAGTAATGTAGATAACTATGGAGGAACTGATAGAGATATTAAAAAAAGAATACAAAAGGCAAGAGAGGCTTTCATAGCACTAGGGAATTTGTGGAGGTCAAAAGAAATTAAAAGAAATACTAAACTAAAAATGTTAATTCTAATGTCAAATCAGTATGGGGCCGAAACATGGAGAACAACTAAGACAATTACTAATAAATTACAGATATTCATTAACTGATGCCTGCGCAGAATAGAGGGAATTAAATGGTATGATAGAATAACTGATGTAGAACTGGGAGAGAACTAAACAGGCTCCAGTGGACCAAGAGGTGAGGTAAAGACGCTGGTGTTGGATAGGACACACACTGAGAAAACAAGAGAACAGCATAACTAGAATGTCTTTGCATTGGATCCCACAGGGGTATAGGAATAAAGGAAGGCCAAAAAACAGATGGAGAAGAGAGCTGGAGAATCAAGTTAGAAAGATTGGGAGGACATGGGGAGAGCTCCATGCAATGGCGAAGGATAGAACGACTTGGTGTGAGTTGGTTGAGGGCCTCTGCTCCATTGGGGGATAGAAAGGCAGAAGAGCAGAGAGATTACAACAAAATGTTTTTAAAATCACACACCATTCAAGGATGTTAGACACATATGAATATTATTTACACAAAAAATGTAGTGCTCACCGTACTTTTTACTTGTTCAGCAACACTGCTATCCAATTCTAAGAATGCACATGCCTTTTCTGTTCAATGACGTATCAGCCAGTCGTTTTTTTTGAAACAGTTAATTTAATTACTTTGGTTGTTATGACCATTTTTGTATGACATGTCAGATTTCACAACCGAAATCGAGAAAACAGCTGATCGAAACAGATGATCCGATTAAAATATTTTGTTCAACAACATCCTAACTTATGGTATCGCCAGTCGGTTTGTCACTTGCATTATCAGTCATAATATTCAGACTGATGTCACTATCTGGATGAGATTCATCGACAGAGCACTATGAACAGTTCTAGACCTTTTCCCTTTTCATTTGGTGTAGAAAAATCATGTAAAAATTGCATCACATCTAAATTATTCAAAACAAATCAGAAAGTGACGCAAACACTACGCCAAATTTCAATAATGAAAGGACATCGTTTCACTAAAAAATTTGTTTATATACATTTTTAAAGTTTTTGTTTTGAAATAAATCAAGATCTTTGCAGGCAGTAATCAGTAAACAGAAACAGAGTGAAGCATTAAATGGAATACATTCCCAGGGGACTAAAACAAATATGTATCAGTTGACTCATGCTGTGACCCCGTGACCTCAATCACTGAGGTTTATTGAAATATTTAAAGTCAACCTGGCTTAAATAAAGCTGTTGGATTCACAAAGGTATATTTATTTAATATATATAACACCCAGGCCTCCTAAACACTACACATAGAACCATTGACATTTAACTGTGCTTTCGGAGATCAGGCCACTGCAGAAATTGGGATATATTGACATTTACAGGAATGTCTCACAACCGTATGTGACTAGATTGATCTTTAATGGGGTTAAATTTGTAAAAGAGCTGTGGTAGCATATTGTGCGGACCTTTTTCCAAAGACGAGAAATCACCTCTGACTTGTGCGGACCTTATCCCAGAGGCAAGAAATCACCTCTGCCTTATGCAAACTTTATCCCAGAGGCAAGAAATCACCTCTGCCTTATGCAAACCTTATCCCAGAGGCAAGAAAGAAATCACCTTTGCCTTGTGCGGACCTTATCCCAGAAGCAAGAAAGAAATCACTTCTGCCTTGTGTGGACCTTATCCCAAAGGTCAGAAATCACCTCTGCCTTGTGCTGACCTTATCCCAAAGGTCAGAAATCACCTCTGCCTTGTGCTGACCTTATCCCAAAGGTCAGAAAGAAATCACCTCTGCCTTGTGCTGACCTTATCCCAAAGGTCAGAAATCACCTCTGCCTTGTGCTGACCTTATCCCAAAGGTCAGAAAGAAATCACCTCTGCCTTGTGCGGACCTTATCCCAAAGGTCAGAAATCACCTCTGCCTTGTGCGGACCTTATCCTAGAGGCAAGAAATCACCTCTGCCATGTGCGGACCTTATCCCAGAGGCAGAAATCAACTCTGCATTGTGTTGTTGCAGTACAGCCCCAATCAGGGGCCAGTCCAGCCAACATATCTGCCTGCTCATTCTCAAATACACGCAAAGTCCGATCAAAAAATCTATGTCACTCTCACCACCTGAGACCTCTGGCTTGATTCGACCCGTTCCATATGAAAAAATTCTGACTTTACCTGCCTGAGCCTGCTTTGCGAATCCGAAACTATGACAGCATGTGTGTTTAAGAGTTTCTCCACCCATCAGAACACCAGAACAGAAACATCAGAACACCAGAACAGAAACATCAGAACACCAGAACAGAAACATCAGAACACCAGAACAGAAATTACTGACTACTATTATGTGGTAGTGACTTCCGTGGCTTGTGCGTTGCGAGTCCGACTTGTAATTCCAATGTACCGTGATCAAAACCCACCGCTGGCTTCGTGGATTTTTATCATGGAATGGGGCCTCACAGGTCGACCCTGCCTAAAATGGGTACCAGGATGGCTGTCCTGGGGAAGTAAAGACGGCTGGCAGAATGCTGACCACATTACCTATATGTCCAATGCGTTTAAAGGCGGGAAAATGGATCTTTACTTTTTACTTTTACTTGTATTATATGGTTGCTCAGTGCATTAGCTACATCTCCTGTATTTGACGTCGCTCCAGAATTCTAACAGCTTTTGCTTGTTCCTTTCTCTAGCTTGCTACTCCCACATTGATGCCTTGGAGTGTACTTCCATCAATGGCTCTGTATATCACAACCGCAGGTGCTACAATGAGACTGAGTTTGAACTCGTCAACAACACAGAATTTGCTGCTAACAAGTCACACAAGGCACCACCCGCTCAAGATTATTTTGAGTAAATTTAGAGCATGTTTAAATTTGTATAGTTTTTTATAGTAGATTTGGAGTATGTTTACATTTGTATTGTTTTTGGGAGTAAATTTAGAACATGTTTTAATTCCTATTGGTTGTAGATCTGCAGTTACATTAATATTTCCCTTGTTGGTTCTCAGGTGCCATTTTGGGGATAAAAGAATAGATGTTGTAAAAGACGACTAATTAAGGTTGTTATATTGCATTGTTGCCTACCTTGTGCCACTCTGTTTAATTCCATGCAGATCTGTGTTGCCACATCTGTAAGAGGTAAAAAGTAAAGTGGGGAGATGTGAACCAGCGTTATTGCACACAGTTATAAACCATAAGTGCTCTGCCACCAGTTCAGACAGCACCAGTTCGGACAGCTGATTAGAAACTCTGCCTCTGTGGCCGTCCACATGAAACTCCGTAGCTACAGTGATGTTTCTCCATTTACCTCATAGTGTTAACTCTGGTACCCATTACTAGAGGCTGGGTGAGCCCTGAGAACCGCTCGTTTTCGAACACCGGCCGTATGATGCAGCTGGATTTAAAAGCGAGTCTCCTATCGATTGCCATATCTGTGCTTTTATGCAGTGTCTTTTAAATGTATTATGTTTTCAGTGTCGCGTGCACATCCATTTTATAGATCTGACATTTGAATGCAAATTGTTGGTTCCTTTCCTCTTAGGCAGATGCACTACAACTTTGAAGGAAGCCCCCAATTAGTCGACTCTTACGATATTTTAGATGAAATGCTTGTTGGGGAGGCAGTGGGTCTATTCTTGTCCCCCCCCACAATGGGGCCCGGAACCCATAGGTTCTCATATTCATCAACATCATTATAAACCACTTCTGCCATCAAGTGTCTTACGGAGTAATAATTTGCCACCCAGTGCACATTGTCTGGGACTGGCTGTTGTCATGTCATAAAGGTGTAAAGTATCTTTACTGTTGTTGATCCATATTTTTCATGGCTGTTCTCATGTGCTGATGTTCTGAAATGTAGTGCCCATGACGGTAGCTGATGTTGCTGCATTCTAATGAGATGACCAAATCACCTAATCTGCTGTTTCTTTATGAATCTTGTACTAGATGTTGTTTCCACAGTCTGCCTGGTAGTATCATTATTCACTCGATCGTGAAGGGTTAGGTTGGAGGCCTTTTCTCAGGCATCTCACCTCACAATATTTGGCACTGGTAGCTCACTAATGGTATGAATATGCAATTTTATAATCTGTTTTTGTTTTTTGCACTCATAATTATTTTGCACTCATAGTTGTTTTTTACTGATAGTTATTTTGTATTCATAGTTATTTTGCACTTATAGTTATGTTCTCACATTGCAGACGTAATATACTGGGGATGTCTGACAGTATAGAAGAGTTGGGCACCATCAGATGGCAGATTGCCTTGTGCTTGCTTCTCACTTGGACTCTCACATTTCTGGCCCTCAGCAGAGGAGTCAAGAGTGTGGGCAAAGTAAGTTCTACAGCTCACTGCTAACTTGATCCAAGTGTAGGTAGACATCTGTTTAACCTGCAGCAGTCTGTCTCAACTTTTCATGTTGGCAACCCACTTTTTAGTTACCATCAGTATTGGAACTCTGTGCTGGCTGCTGAAGATGAGGACGGAGCACGCATGGGAATGCCCCAAGTGCTGTTATGTCAATTCTTGACTCAACTCAACTCACACTTTTTAGATAATTTTGCAGCACAGAATGCATAGCAATACATATATTCTTTTTTTTTTCTGTTTTTGTTTGGTTAAATATTGTTTCATTCGCCATCATCCCCTTGTGGAATGCAATTTTTAGTTATTTTGAAGCCCCACCCTGGCTTTTGCCAGGGGCCCTAAATATAGCTGCGCCTTAAATGTGGCCTGACAGCTGAAAGGGGTTTCTAGGGACCTCTCCATGGGTGATCCTTATCCGCATGATGGCACATTGTGTCACCAGGTGTTTATCGCTTGTGTGATGCCCTGGTGGGGTACAACTACCTACCTTGTTAAATATCTGTTAACCATAAGTTGTCAACCCTTTGGCTCAGTACAATGAATATCACAACCTTTCCGCCTTAATTCCATGATAGATACCGTAAATCTGGGATAAATTTGGCTTTTCTGCCTACCCGTGAACCCAGACCACAAGGAGTTCGTCACCTGGTCGCCGCACAGTCCAACTGAGCTAGCGAGCCCAGCACATATAAATTCATAACAAATAAAGAATAGTTAGGTACATTGTAACCTTCCATATATGTAATAAACCATTTAGTTTATTATGTATCAGGTTGTATATTTGCGTATGTTCTTCTGTTTCATATTGCATATTTCCATTAACTACTTCTCTGTTTTGGTCTGTTTCAGGTTGTTTATTTCACTGCACTGTTTCCCTATTTTGTTCTAACCATCCTGTTTTTTCGAGGCATCACGTTGGATGGCTCCGTAGATGGAATCATATATTATCTAACTCCAAAATTTGATAAACTTATTGAAGCGCAGGTGAGTAAATGTTTTTCTATAAATAATATTCTTCGGGGGCTTGTTGTTTGTTGCATTTGTTGAGTTGTTGTATCATTACTTGTTTCTGGGGGACTTTGCTTTTGTGTTGAGGTGTGTAAGGTCATTGCTACGGATTACAGAGGCTATGGTTTAGAAAGAAAAAAAACACTAATGCTTATTAAAGAATGAACACTTGCCCCATTATGTGTGAAAATGTTGAATTAAGAATCCACATTGTAATATTTGGGACACTCCCATAAGCTCTCCATCCCCATCTTCAGCAGCAAGCGAAGAGTCTAATTCAGATGGTACCAGTAACTTTGATTGTACATCCGTCTCGCCTTTACCTTGAGTGTTGA